TGGTATGATCAGCTAGCTATAGGGTAAGTGACAAATGGAACCTAAAGAATTCTATAAATAAAGTATTTAATGTTGGTATGATCAGCTAGCTATAGGGTAAGTGACAAATGGAACCTAAAGAATTCTATATTAATAAAGTATTTAATGTTCGTGTTATTTGTAAATCTTGATTCTTGTTCATTCTTTTGAAGCTCATTCTTTTATCAACAATCTCTAGGCATTTACCTGTCAATCACAACCTTGTGATCACCCTTTTATTACGGATCTAATCTTTTTAGTGTAAAGAAGACAAAGTATATGCCTCAGATATGACGCTGAACAAGAAAATGACATTCAAAGAACATAAACAAAACTTTTATGACAATGATATATTTACTTTGAATAATCCACTGCGCAAAGTAAGATTTTTAACTATGAACTTTAGAATGAAGTGTCGTTGAAATGTGAACTGTAGAATGAAGTGTCGTTGAAATGTGAACTGTAGAATGAAGTGTCGTTGAAATGTATTTTATAATTTCTGCTGAGAAGAAAATTTCGTTTTTTTTAACTTATGCAGTTTCCTGTAAAGTCACAATACAACAGTCTCTTTTTTAGCTTCGTTTCTAAGAGACCAAGATTCTAAATAAGTTGTAAAATTCACCCAGGAGAAGAATACATGTTCTTAAATGTAATATTCTGGTAGATGTTATTTCACATTTACAAAATACACAGTTATTTATCATCTTACACTTAAAAGGCTTTACGCAGAAACAACACATTTTTAATTTGATATAAAACGCTTTTTTATATGTGTTTTAACTTCAGTATCAAGATTTCCTTCGTGGGTTAGCGGTAAGACTGAAGGTTAAAGCCCAGATTTAGATACTCATGGTGACCACAACACCTATTATGTAAAATCAAAGTTCATAAGCTGACTGCGCCATCTGATGTCCATTAATTTAACTATGTGGTATTTACAGAAGAAAACCTATGGTTTGCAATGTAGTTGAAAATAAAACAAATCATTTCATATCAAATCTTTGTTACAACTACTCGCATTAATTGTTCTTGCTTTATACTTTCTACTATGTCGAACTGTAGCATTACACTTGCTGGATGTTGAGAATCTATAACATCATACCTATTACATGCTGGGAAGCTGTAGCTTCGTACATACTGAACGTTGGGAAGCTGTAGCTTCGTACATACTGAACGTTGGGAAGCTGTAGCATCATACTTACTAAACGTTGAGAAGCTGTAGCATCATACTTGCTAAACGTTGAGAAGCTGTAGCATCATACTTACTAAACGTTGAGAAGTTGTAATATTATACTTACTGAATGTTGGGAAACTGTAACATCATACTTACTAAACGTTGAGAAGCTGTAACATCATACCTATTGGATGTTGAAAAGCTGTAGCATCATGCTTACTAAACGTTGAGAAGCTGTTATATTATACTTACTGAATGTTGAGAAGCTGTAATATTATACTTAGTGAATGTTGGGAAACTGTAGCATCATACCTACTGGATGTTGGGAAGATGTAGCATCATATTTATTAAACGTTGAGAGCTGTATCATTATACTTACTGGATGTTGAAAAGCTGTAGCATCATACGTACTGGATGTTGGGAACTGTAGCATCATACCTACTGAACGTTAGAAGCTGTAACATTATACTTACTGGATGTTGAGAAGCTGTAGCATCATACCTACTGGATGTTGGGAAGCTGTAGCATCATACCTACTGGATGTTGGGAAGCTGTAGCATCATACCTACTGAATGTTAGAAGCTGTAACATTATACTTACTGGATGTTGGGAAGCTGTAGCATCATACCTACTGGATGTTGGGAAGTTATATATTTTATTCCGCATTTCGATGTAATAAATTTCATTCCCAACAACTATTTACACCTTTACGTTCGATTGAGTATTGTTTTACCATTTGAGATGAAAATTGTGAGGTTTTCTTAACTGGCACTTAAACCAGAAGGAAACAAAATAACCAACTATCAGAAGTAACTATCCCAGCTTTGTTATGCAAGTAACAAATAATAAAATTGAAGATTCAGTAATTTTTAAGCACTTCGTAAATATAAAATGTTATTTCAATCAATAGTTTGATAATTATACAGAAGGTTACTCGTATTTAATTTAAATAATTAACATAAATTAATGCAGTGACAAGAGGCTATGAAAGACATACTTACAGTCAACAGATGTGGTCCACAACAAATTCCTAACCCTTCAATAGTGTCGAGCCTCCACGCGCAAACTGACAACTGGAGAATGTCTCAGCTCTCTCCGAGAAAGGATACTTTAAACGATATAGAGCCTTCAAACTTCTCCTTCAAACGAAAAAAAACTCGAGTAACAGAGCATATAGTACAACAGTGGACTCCAAAAAATATAGCCTAAACCAATTCCAAGCAACGCCCTCAACCGCAAAGTGAAGACAATGGTTACGAAAGAAAAAAAAAACTATGGTCCCAGAGTCATTATGATGAATCTGCGCATATCTTCTGGTACCATAAATAAGACAGCAAATAAGAATTTCAAAATGATGGAGGCTCAAGGCCGAAAACTCCAAACCTCATTTTGAAATCAACTATTATTTTTATGGCAGAAAAAAATTAATTAATGGTAGTTAGCATTTTCACTACAAATTGAAATGCCCCCCAGTGGCACAGCGGCATGTCTGCGGACTTACAACGCTAGAAACCGGGTTTCGATATCCGTGGTAGGCAGAGCACAGACAACCCATTGTGTAGATCTGTGCTTAACTTCTAAACAAACAAACAAACAAATTGAAATACATCAGCGTGAATGGTGAGTGATAGGGTGATGTGATATTGTCTGGCTTCCTTCCCTCTGGTGAGTAGATCAAAATTATTTGACGGTGGTAGATAGTTTTAGTAGCTTGGCCATTAATAAAAAAAGAAATAATCAGATATTAGATTATCTACAGTCTCACTGTCAGAACGGTTTAATGGGCTTTCTATAATCACTATATTTTGTTAGGGAGGATTACACGAAGCTATACGTATATCGGCGTCAGGCTTTTTTAGGGACAGGAGTCAGTAATGTGCATGAAATAAACAACTTGTTTTATGTGTCTTGTAACGCTCCCCAGTGGCATATCTGCGTACTTGTACTGCTAGAAACCGGGTTTCGATACCTGTGGTGGGCAGAGCACAGATAACCCATTGTGTAGCTTTGTGCTCAATTACAAACAAACAAACTTTATATTTTTTCCATTTATTTATCACACGTATATATTTTGATATGAGGATTGTTATCTTAGTACATGTATTAAAGATTAGCTTAAATCTCATAAGCTGGCCTAACCTCGTGATACCTTATTTGGATAAGACAGTAAAACTGATAACAGCGAGAGTACCGAATTAATGGATTCTAATCATTATATGTTTTTCTTAATGCCATTGTATACCCTTAGTTATATTGGTATATCAAATTAGCTACATTATTCACTGGGTTAGTATCTGATCTGTGTAGCTAGCTTGGTTTCATCAGAAGCTATTGATAACTTTTGGCAAATGAAAAGCGAAGTTGAAAGTGGTCAAAGTGTTTACTAAAAAACGCTTAATGTTTTTGATAAGATAATGCATTTTTAACGAGCCTTAACTGAGGTAATCCTTTTGGCAGCAGAAGGATGGAAATATATCAAGGTTTATAGTTTCCCTGAATTCAAACCAAGGCATAACAACTTGGATCCTTCATTGGAATTTGGGAAATTAAATAAATAAATAAATATATATATATATATAAAAGCAAGTTTATTTTTCTGGCATGAAAAGGAGAAATATGCTCGTGGCAAAAAAAGATTTTCGCTAGAACGCCATCAAGGCTTAACACCTTTAATTGTTTTATAAGTGAGTGTTTTTTATTACCATAACTGAGTTATCTTTGTGGCAAAAAATGTGAAGGCGCATTTGTCAAAAAACAACAACAACAACAAAAACAAAACAGGATTCCACCTTTTGGGTTTTTGATGAGATAAAGTTTCAATACGTCATAGCCGAACATATGTTTCAGCCAGTATAAATGGAAGTTCAGAGGTTGACAAAATTTTCCCCAAAAAACACAATAAATCTTTATTTTTTGAACAATTCAAAACCTTAATTCTTAGAGTTATTTTTACAGGAAGTGTTAATTACCTGCCAGTTTACGTGATTCGGCTTTGGCTATAACAAGAAATCATAATGGAAAACTCAAAGGCTTAATTAAGTATTGGTGTTTTTTTATAACTAATTATAATTAACTTCAATATTACATTTAAAATGTCAGATATATTAACTCGATGCTAGAGTGAAAGAACATTATTTGATAAAACTTTAAAAGATTTAAGTCATGGTATATCTATTGAAATGTAAGATGTTCTTGAATTTTGTCTTTCCTTTGTCAGAAAGGTTGTACATGCGCTAAGCATTTAAAATGTAACATTAGGTGAATGGTCAATAGTCATGCCAAATAAAGGGAAGACCTTAGGGGAGGTGGAGCAAATCAGGACATGTAACGGTGAAATAAAAAAGATGTTTTTAAAGAGAAAAGAAACTGTTTGTTTATTTGAATTTCGCTCAAAGCTACACGAGGACTATCTGCGCTAGCCGTCCCTAATTTAGCAGTGTAAGACTAGAGGGAAGGCAGCTAGTCATCACCACCCACGACCAACTCTTGGGCTACACTTTTAACAACGAATAGTGGGATAGAACGACACATTATAACGCCCCCACGGCTGAAAGGGCGAGCATGTTTGGTGTGACGGGGATTCGAACCCGTGATCCTCAGATTGCGAGTCGAGCGCCCTAACCACCTGGTCACGATGTTTTGAACAGTTAATAATGTATGTCTGTATGTTATTTACTGGTCCACGTACACTTTCAATCAAACAATTTGTTTTTTTTTAATTAGAAAAAATTGTCCTTAAGTATTTTGTATTGAGTAATAGTATTTTTCTTATATAATTATAATTTAATAAGATCTCCTCATATATTTTGTTTTATGTTTTCACTATTATCATTTAATTTCCTGGGATGTAATGATCAACTAATGTATTAGATTAATTAAAGCAACGAGCGCAAGCCTATTGAAATACTTAAAAGACTAAGAACTTATTCAACGATCCCCTTTCTACAGCACATAATGCTTACCTATGCAAGGACATTAACCCACTAAAATGCTTAAATGTCTTAGTATCTCATAAAAGTTTCACTATGTTCAATCTTTTTCTGCCATAAAAAATGTAAGATTAATTCTGCTATGACCATAATATATAATTCAAATTTCGTAGAAAGTTCAAAAACTTGACATTTTTCTTTTTCATTATATTTTAGTTAAATATTTCTTAAGCCCCTCGAGATCTATGCTTGCTATTAATAATAATAAAAATCTTTATTTCATTAGCTAACAAATGCTTTTTTTTCATAAAAATGTTTTAATATCTTTAATCTTGTCTTTCTCCAGCCAGAAACACCAAATTGGCTTTTGCATACATATAAAGTATATTCTGCACAAAAAAACAAAATAAATATTAATTTGGCTCCAAAATGATTAAAAAATATATAAAACTCCCAAAGACTTGATGAATTATGGGAGAGCTTCATTAATGTTTCATAAAATTAATACTACTGTTGCCTAAACAAATAAATAAGCATTTTTTTTTATGAACATGGAAAGGCTTAATGTAAATATAAACTTATCTAACATATTCAGTTTTGCCTTTCTTCTGCCAAAACTTAGTTCTGTGTGGCGTAAAAATATTCCACTGGGGAATGTGTGAGTAAAATTCGCAATATACAGGTAACTAGAAGCCATGGTAACCGGAGAAATGGAATTTCTAGGGCTAGTCTTGTAAGTTTAACAAGTTTAAGTTGGAAAAAATTAAATAGACAAGATATAAGGTGTACAACGAAAACATAGGTATATTTATTAACGTTGAACAAATCAAAATAAAATACCCTGAACATTGAATATGATAAATGGAGCTATACTTGAAATAACCTGGATGGAACTCAACTATTTGACTAACATAGAAACACAATTTTATGCAAACTCTCTGGTTATCTGGCACTAGCAGAAGACATACATTTAAAAATGACAAAAACAAGATGTTGCTTAGTTGATATCACGACAAAACATATTTTCAAAACCTAATCCAAATCCAAAGAGAAACAGTAGGGTCATTCTAGAAAAAAAAATAGTTAGTAGGAGTGGAATCAGCCTGTAACAACTGTACAGGAGTAAGAAGTCAAGGACATATCACAGATGGGAGTGATAACCAGTTATGGCAAAATAGGATGATCGTCAGACCTAGCAACTGCCTTCAAGTAAAGAGTAAAATCATTCAATAATCACTGGAATTGAAGGTTAAGAATAAGAATAGGAGATTGTATTTGCAAAAACCATGTCCTCCAAAGCATGAAAACACAATGCTAAATGAAATGCTTGGGCAGGAATAATAGATTTGCATCATTTTGTGAGGATGATTGTATACTTTAAATACATAGTGGAGGTTCAAAAAACTCGGTGTATAAGCTATATACTAAAGAAAAGCGGAAGAAACCCAAATCTCTGATGATGCACCAGAATAAGCATTTTAAAAGCAGAATTCCTTGCTGAAGCATAATTTAGATATCAATAATCCAGCTTGGAGTAGACCAGGGCACAATGAATCTATGGTTGAAACAATCGCCCTACTTTACGTGATGTTGATCAGAGAATTCACAGGAAAATCATATACTCTTAACTTTTAAACTGCTTGACAACAAAAGATCACTGTCAAGCAGGAGCCCTAAAATCTTTGTTTCTGTCACACAAGTATCAGATCATCACCTTAGCAGATCTCGGTGAAAAATGAAACTACATTTCCAGTAGTCCATACATCTCTCCATTTGCATCATTTTTGGTGATTGATATGTCATAATAAAAATTTGCATCAGACAGAGAAGTTATTTCATAATAGCCTTAACATTGATGAAAAAAAAGTGTGATATTAAAATACACCCCTGAGGAATGCATAAATCTAATGTGAAGGATGTTGATAACATTGATCCAACATGGACGTAAAAAAATGTATTTTTAAAAGATTCGGGATAAAAATATGTAAATGGCCAATCAACTAAAAAAATGAAGGATTATTAAGGTATTATTTTCTAATGTGGTATCATAACTAATTTCCTGGTGAAAAATATAAAACCAGATTCTCCGATTTAACAAAATCCTCCTTGATAAACGTTTGAAGTCTTATCAGATGTCGATGGTGGATTTTTGTTATAAGGAGTTTTTTTTTGATTCAATAAATTAAAGATA